TAGAAATCCATGATGCCTCATATTTCTCTTATCCAGGCAACTTCTGATATAGAATACTGATCCCAACAGGAGATTTCCTGATAGAATATGCTCAACTTTAGAAAAGAAAGCACATGTTCTGTCCAGACCTGAAAGTATTTTTTTGACCAGAAATGTCATCATAGCCTGGTTTCTTGTTAGAAATGGAAATTTTCAGGTCTCATCACAGAAGAACTCTCCAGAAATGCTGGGGAAGGGTGCAACAATATTTGATGGTATATAATCTAGATAATTTTGGTTCACAGTTTGAGAACAGAGAGTTTAGGCAAAATCCTATGGAATTTAGATCTGATCAGTAAGGACATTAGTTACCAGAATTTGCTCCTTATTGGAGTCACTCTCGGATGGTTTTGAGGAATAATGCCTACCTAGTTCTGTGCATGGAGGTTGAATTACTTAACACGAGTACAGATCACCATCATAAGAAAGATCCCCTAGATTATTACAATTTGCAGTAAAATTTGATAATTACAAAAATGATACATATTACTGATTTTGAGGATATGTACAAGTTTTGGTTTGAAAAGAGTTAATAAGAGTAACTTTCTTTATGTTGTGCACACTTTCAAGTTTGAAAAGGGTTTTTACAAGTGGTTTCCTGGTCTTCACAGGGTGAGGCATTAACAACAGCCTCTTACATCTGGCAAGTGTGGATGAAGTAACTTTCTAAATGTATAAACTCTGATTCCGAGATCCATTTGTCCTTTCATTAGATGCTGCTCACACTCCTACATTTGATTATTTTGTAATCTGGCTCAACAAGGCAGTTGAGAAATCAGACTGAGATGCACTTGTGAAAGTCCCTCAGAAATAACTTTTAGTTTAGCCTTAATGGTTTTCTAATTTGGGAACCAATCATCTGGATAAATGCCAAATTAACTGGATAATTGCTCAACCCTGCACCTCACTTTAATTGCGCCATCAGTTACTTGATGTTGCTTGAGTGTCTTGATAGGGTCAGATGTCCTCTCCCAAGCAGGACAGGAGAATTCCCTCAATGGTACTTCCTTAAGATACAGTGCAATAATGGTTGCCAGTATATATTTTATATAGCAGGTTTTTAAAAAAGAGTTCCTTCAAGACAGAAGCTACAGTTTCATTTAAATCCTGGAAAATTTATGACATATCCAAAGACTAGATGACTTTCTCACAGGTAGCTTTATCCATCGCACCAGGCGAAGGTTCTCTAGTACACTAATTGCACTGCCCTTTATAGTCCAGGAAAATTGGACACAGTACCCAAGCATCTTTGTTGGCACAGTAACTTGTTTTCTGTCTGTTTTCTGGCCTCCAGTACTGTGAATGTTGAGTATCTGACACCTCCAAACTTGTCTCTTCTCTGGGAAATTGATTTCCAGAGAGTGGCTCCATTCTTCACCCTATCTCCTAGCATTTCCGTCTCCCTTCTAGGACCTCATCTCTGCCTCCAATGGAACAATCCAGGGGCTAACTGAAATGTTTACTTAAATAAAGCCAGCATCCTTGCCTCAAGATAAAAATAAATCTGAGGTATAATTTGTGTTTTAAAAATCTCCCCTCTGCTGCACACTTGGGCTAGAGTTCACTCAGTGATACACTTATATCTGCTCACTGCTTCTCCTTACCTATTCTTCTCATCTTATGGATTTCCCCTGAAGAACACTCTGCTAATGCTTAGAGCTATATGATCTGTGGCTCTGCTCTAAAATTTGAGTATCCTCTATATCATAATGATCTCCATTGCATAAACATTCTGTATCAAACATAACAGAGAATAGCACATTTTGGAAAATCATTGAGCAATCCTTCCACTTTGTGAACATGTGTAGAAGTTATTACATTAAGAATGTAGACAGCTGCCATTAGTTTTAAAATGATTTATTTTACATTCAGGCTTCCCCTTAATTTCAGGATTTTATTCACTTTAATTCTAATATATTTACAGGAGTCAAAGAGAGGGATGAGATTATGTTTATCACCCAGAGATTATATGCAACACATCAAGGAAGACGAGGGATTATGACCCCCAATCTTATCATGAAGATTCCAGAGGAAAAAAAAGACTCGGAGGATGGGTAGGATTGCTCAGTGAGTGAAGACACTTGCCTCCACACCTGATGACCTGAGTCACATATGACCCCACAAAAGAAATAGATAAAATTGCAGCTTTAAAATGGAAAACATTTGGATATTTTTTTAAAAAAGTTAAGTTACAATTGGCCAGTTACAAGCCAGGACATGTCTATGCCATGCTACCTCAAGGTAAAATTCTTTCCATGCCCTGTGAGCAAAGCATCCAAATACTTTTATTAATTATTCAACAGTTTCAATCCATTAAAGATAGACACGTTACAAATACATTAAATATCCACACAGAACTCATAAAGCCTGGCCATGGGAAAAGCCGATTAAGTATATACTTCCTAGTCATCTCTTATTTATGATGTTAGGGCTATTATCTAGCATTAAAGGGAATCTCCTTACAGCACTGAGGGACCCTAATATTGTATCAATAGCCGAAGTCAGCGTAGTTTTTTATTCCCTATTGAAAAGTATAGAATTTCAATTCTCTCTCTCTCTCTCTCTCTCTCTCTCTCTCTCAGTTTAGCCTCACAATTGTAACACAGGCAATAATAAAAAGAATATGTAAGCCCCAAAGAGTCAGACTATCATTATTCTGTGAGGAACAACATGTCTTGTGGAAAGAAAGACCTTTATAGTTTACTACAGTTAAGCAATATCAATCTGTGTTGCATTTTTAAAGATCAAATGCCTTCTCCCTTGAGTGAGACTTTAGGGACCTACCCAGTCAACACATAAATGCCCTTAAATAACTCAAAATACATAATGTGAAAGGTTTGGAAAGAAAAGAATAGGGCTTGTAAATCTATTGTTTAAGAATTTCTGAAATTGTTCGTTAATAATATTTCAGCTTTATATCTCCAGCTAAATTCTGCTATATATACTTTAGGCCCATGAGCCAATTATTTTGAAAGATATTCAGAATTCTATATTCACAGGAAGTCTTGGATACTTTGTGATTTCAGGCCATTTTACTCCGGTCTGGCATATTCTTGGTCTTCTTTCGGTCTGTATTTTTCAAATCCAACTTGTGTAAGGCTCAGTTGTCCCATCCTGCTTATCAGCCAAACTCCTCTCCTCAGCTCCCACCAATCCTCCTGTTTCCAATGCTAGTTTGGCCTGTGTCTTTACTGATGTGCCATCGTGGTCCTCATGGTAAATTTGGCTGCAATCTGGATGGCTAATTACTTCTTAGGAGTTTTCATCTTCACTTTTCAGACTCTGACCTGAAGGTGTCTGTGCTTCCAGAAATCTTGATTTAAAGTCATAACACTGAAGACAATGGCCTTACAAGGTGGGGATTTGGGAATATAACAATGCCCTGAAAATGAAGTATTCATGAACTTATCTGAGGCCTGCTACACACAGCTTGCATGGCTCCCTGAACTCTCAGAAACTTTTCCCTTGGACAGGACAACAGTCTAACCTAAAGACAGCAAGAATAGCTGTGAAGACTTCCTTCCTTCCTTCCTTTCTTCCTTCCTTCCCTCCTTCTTTTGTACAGGTTGGATGATAATCAATTCGGATTATACTTCTGGATGTAAGCTCTACATGGAGCTTACATGTAATCAGTCATGGAGGACTGCCTTTAGTGAGAGATGTAGGACTTAGAGACCGGAAAAGCCACTCACTGGGTATGTGAATTGCTCTCATTCTGTGCTGTTGTCCTCCTATTCCCTATATTAAGTCAAGAACTATTGATTAGACCTAAATTAAGAGGTGCTGTTGAAATAATTTATAATTGTTTTGGTACTTTAATGCCATTATATCACCTTTCCACTAGAAACAGCTAAATTTAAGAACTTTCCTGGGCTTAAAAAAATACACACAGATTAGATTAATCAATTATTTAACCATATATTTACTGGCACATGAATCTGTTTTCTGAAATGATATCTCAATGCCCTAATTCACTTACCATCCTTATTTATTAAGTATTAATTGAATACCTACCATGTACTTAACTATTTCATTCACCTCTGAGGATACAATTATGAACATTGACATCATAGGGACATTAAAACGCCATGGGAGAAAAAGGGATGATCATATCAAAGTATAATATACTCCTGGCCTCTGTTCTTAAGAAGACAAAGGTAAAGGGCAGTACAGAAATCAGTATGGGAGGACTGATCTAGGCATGGGGCTTGCAGTGACTACATGAGGAAGCCATCTTTGGGTTTGGAGAATGGGCCAGAAAGCAGACTGAAGCGGTGTGTTCCATTGGCCCGTGGGAAAACTGTATCCCCAGAATCCAATACTACACTAAAAAACACAGCATTTGATAAGCACCAAATGAATATAAGAACAAATGAAGGTATTATGTGAATAAAGGAGTTGAGAGATTGTCTCAGAAAATGGATTGGTGAATTAAGTAATTAATAACTAAAGGCAAAACATGTAGACTAGAGAGGTCAGCTCCAAAGGGAAGACACAGAACATCAGCAGACCATTAGTGCACAGTCTGGAAAGTTCAGACAGAGAACAACAATGGTCATGCTGCAAGCTGTTCAAATTAGCCTTTCCAATCCACGTCAGCTCTACTCCCTCCAAGCTGAAGTTGTACCCAATCAGAATGATCACAGCAGATGTGCTTCAGAAACTTAATGCAATTGAGAAGTGTGCTCTGTAGAGGAATAAAAATCGACTGGCAATGGATCTGTGTTAGCTGTCTTAAGCACAGAGGAGGCCCATTTAGAAAGTGGTCTCTTCCTATTGCTCGGAGGCTATGTGACTTGTTTGTAGAAGATCTTCAAACCTAATGATCTCTTTATACATTCTCTAGGACCGAGCATTTATGGTTCACAGATATACTTGTTACTTTAGTGGCTTAGAAAGTTGGTTTTTTTCATATATATATATATATATATATATATATTCTTTCCACTCTAAAGACTTACCTATTACACTAAGCTCAGCGCTGGAAAAGATAACTCCATGTTTATTCTCTGCCACACACTGGTACATGCCAGCATCTGAGAGATTCACTATTGTTATGTTGAGTGTTCCTTGCTCGATTTGTATTCTATCCTGTGAAAGAAAAGGAGTATAGAAATAGTGACCTTCCACAGCTGAGAGCTTAAGGCAATTTTGCTACATGCTATGTCAAGAGGGCTTAAGGGGAGGAAAATAGTCATCATATAAGCCATTTACATTAACATGATCTGCTTATCTGTCGAGTAAATCTGTGCCAGGTCAGATGGCAAATGGAACCAGCAGCAATATCAGTTAGTAAATGGAATTTAAATTGTAGGATTCTCTTGCATTCGTGTCGATTTAATAGTGAAGTCATTCAGATGAATATGCCCTATAAATAAGTGAACTTGACCTTGAAAGATGAAGAGCTGCTTTTACTCTATGGCTTTGTGGTAACTTGGGAAAGGGGAGAAAATACATCAAATTTATCATTTAGAGTTTATATCTCTTAATTTAACACCAGTCTGCCCTTCAAGAGCTGATAGGGTATAATCTTAGATTGACTTACACAAATTTTTACTACCTGCTGAGTTGACCAAATAAGGAATAGGAGCTAATAATTCGATATTCTACTAGGCATGGTGGTGGCACCTGCTTTTAATCCCATCACCAGGCTGCAAAGGCAGGCATAGATCTTGAGGCTAATGATAGGATGGTCTATATAGTGAGTTCTAGGCTAACCAGACATACAGAGTGAAAACATGTCTCAAAAATAAATCAATTTTTGCTGCTATTGTGATTATTTACATGTATAATCTGCTAGGAGTCAAGACAAAGGAAGCAAATGTAGTAGATATATACGACAAGAAAACCTTCTCATGTGTCAAACTGAAGTCACGTAACTTGTGCATCAGTCTCTAATTCACTAGGGATTTCCTCTCTCCACATTACACAAACAGGAACATGAACACACACACACACACACACACACACACACACACACACACACACACACACACACACCAGTGAACACAAAGCCCTAGAGTAAAAATAAAATCCTGTTTTTTTCAAGGACTGCTGTCTAGTTGAATGGATGATTTATTAGACTTTGATCAAGGCATCCTTGTCCCCTCACATTTCATAAAGAGTGGGACATTCCAAGTGCCTGGGAACCTGCACACTAGCAATTTGTTTGACTTTTATAACAGAGGGGCTGATGAACCAGAGCAGCCTTCCAGAGAGTTGAGGGTGACCATGAGATTGGGGTGGTCAGAAGACATTATTTCTTTTGTCTATCAGTTGTCCAGTGTAGACACTTTCTCTTTCCTAGGTGCGCTATTCAGGGAAGAAAGCTGAGGATAAAAACTGACTCTCAATGTGTGTCCAGGTAACATTTGATATTTCATAGGAAAAATACAAAGAAAATGAAATTGGACATAATTGTTCCTCTGATTTCTTTTTGAGAGTCACATTACATTTTGATGGTCATCCTTGTGTCATATCAATACTCTTTCTCTTGAAATATATGCTGGGATGTCACCTTCTACATAATATAGCAAAGTCAAAGTCCAAACACTCTGTGTGGCTTTCTTAGTGTGAAGCTAGCAAAGTGTTAATCTGTGCTACAAAGCTCTGGAATAGATGTTTAACAAGATTTGTTTATAATTTATTTTTATCAACAGTCACTTTTACTTTTTTTTTTTACTATTAACAGGAATTAGTTGCTTTTTATTTTGGAAAAAGCTCAACATTTTTCTGTTTCCATGGCAATGAGGCCACAGTAAACATGGTATTACATTAAGACACAATTACCATCAATTTACTTACCCGTGTTAACAGTGGGTCACCATTTTTTAGCCACCTGTAAGTTGGCTTGGGCCTCCCATTTGCTTTACATTCCCAGAAGACACTCTCTTCCATGGCCACGTGAATATCATTTATTTTTTGAACCCAGTTAGGTTGAGCTATAGCAGTTCAAAAAAACAAAAAAGAGGCATATAATCACCGTATAGTCAATTTTTTTTAATTCTAAGGAATTGGAGATTAAAATGGGCTTTTGATCAAATTCCTTTTCTGTAAGACATACAAGTAATAAGGGTAAGAAGATATTTAAGGAAAATATGCACACAGTGTTTCTGACCCATATTGTTGACCTTTTAACACTAAAGACAGACTTGACAAAACTTTTATTAACCATGGGTTAAATTGTTCTTGACCCTTAAGTACTGCTATTATTTTGTTTTCCATATGAGGAACTTCAAGGACCACTGAACCACCTTTGGATGATGTCATGAATTCCTTCCTACCTACACTTTCCCCAAAATTCCTTTTCATTAAGAAGTAACCATGTGACTAAGTTCCTACCAGTTGGTCAATAGTCAAAATTGAGAGGGCACCCTCAAATGCTTGCTCTTGAGCCTTGCCCCTCTGCATTGATTGGAAAGTGATGAGAAAACTTTAACAGGCTTAGGAATAGAGATGGCAGTAATATAGGGATGAAATTGTGACCCGATATCTTGGCCCTTGAATGATATTGCAAAGCAAAGCAATGCAGTAGTGAGGGCTACTTGTTTATTTTTGGCAAAAAAATGAGATGAATGAGCTTTTTATTTAAGACCTTGTACGCTGAGTTTCCTTTCATTAGAACAGCTTATCTAAACTTTTACTACCATATTGCATTCCCATAGTTTCCACAGACACACCTCTGTAGCCCTTATATGTCCAATGAGCCATCATTGCCATTCATTATGTGCTGATCCCAAATTAGAAGAATGCTAGCTGTATGATCCCTTAAAGCTAACATTTTTGAGTTAGCCATTGATTTACCAAGCCCTTTTAGAAAATCAAATTCTACCCAGAATCTCACATGGAAATTCAAAGCAGCATTTAATTCTCACATTTTATAATACTGAATACCTTCTCAATCACCCACATTTTACCATGGTTTTCATGCTTCTGTTGAAGGAATATTTTGTTCTGCTATGAAATCAATAGATATACAGCCAATGTTTCATAAAAAACATTTATAAATATCAGTTCTTGCCTACAGTACAGTTCATGCTTTTATCTCCACAGTTATGATCACTGATAGAAGATCTTTAGCTAAAACTCCTGTAGAAAATAACACTATCTATTATTTGAGGAAGTTACTAGTTCATGGGACATTTCTACAGGGTAATAACTACTGATATTAGTAACCAAATTTGGTACCATTATTAATCAGAAGATATTACTCAATATCCCGAACATGTCTTTTAGCTGACTTGACCTCTGTATATCCATTCATCAAGACTTCAAGTCATGGATAATTTAATTCAAAGGGAAATTGGTGATGTGAAGGCTAAGCGTGTATCTTACCGTCTGGATAATATACAAAAATAGAAAAACACTCAGCGAGTCACTTAACCAGCAGAGGTCTCCAGGTCATTGACTAAATGCTGTTTTCTTCTTTCCCATCTACAAGCAATTCCACGTTTTTCAAAGAGCAAAACACAATTTTGCAAACCCTCTCCTGATGGAGATGATGCATGGCTGCTTAAGAGGGGAGGCCAAAAGGGTCAACTTCAAAAAAACGTTACAACATCAACAAGCATTAGCTTGAATGAAGGGTTATAACCTGCATCTTTGAAAGAGCTGCAAGTTGGCTGCTGTCCTCTATCATCCCACTGCTAATGGGGAGGGAAGCTCAAGAGGTAATATCTTCCCAGAGCTCTACTGGGAGAAGCCAGTGTGCAACTCCTTTAGGACTAATGGCCTAGTCTGCCAGATATGCATTCAACCTGCCCCCCCCCCCCCCCCTGCCCTCTGCAGAGTCCAGGGGAACAAAGCAAACAAAAAAAGGCACAGAAATCTGTGGAATATTAACAAGAACAAACTCTGAAAACGAGTTTAGGAAGAAAAAGCAAAACAAGGAAGGACAAAATGTTACTTAGGAAGCAATGCCAAGTTGAAGTTAAAACAGGAAAGTTCACAAACACACACAGAGAGATTCCAATGTCACCCACTTCCAAAAACACTTGGTCTCATTCTTTCAAAACTCTAAAAGGCTGGAAGCCAAACCTTGCCATCTCACAAAGGTGCTGGGGTAGGAGAGAGGGGCTTTGAAAAGTGTTTGAAATGACCTTGCAAATTTCAAACTAATTAGATATTTCTGAGGGCTCATTCTTTCTCTTGCAGTGGGGTCAGGGAGCTCAACACGAATGGACAATTCGTTCTGGCAGAGGTGACATTCATAACTAATTTGCCTAATGCTGAACCAATTTGGTGTCTGACAACAGTCATCAGGTACTTTCTCTGCTTTCAAAGTGAAAACTGTTCACAGGAGCCAAATTAACACAATGGCGATAATTCCTCTTGAAGTGAGTAACTGCACAGCCAAGTGAAGACTGTAATGGCCGGGAGAAAGGAGATAGCTTAGCTGCGAAGGTGATAGCTATGTAAGCGTGAAGACCCAAGTTCAACATTTAGGACCCACATATGCAGACTGGGCATGGTGACACATGGCTGTAATCCCCACATAAGGAGGCAGAAACAGGTATATTTTGGGGGCTCACTGAACAACCAGTTTGCCAGCTTAACAAAATTGATGAAGTCTTGTCTGGAAAATTCAAGGTGGGTGGCATCTCAAGGAATGATACTTGAGGGTCACCTCTGATTTACTCTGTCTCTGTCTCTGTCTGTGTGTCTGTCTGTCTGTCTGTCTGTCTCTCTCTCTCTCTCTCTCTCTCACACACACACACACACACACACAAAACCCATTATATGAGGGCAAAGAATGAGATAGTTTGCATTTTAATGTGCCAATTGCTGATCTGCAAGTCAAAACCACACATCACTGTCTTCACTCACACTTATTTATGTTGGATGAATCACATCTATTATAATTGGGTAACTCTTCCTTTCTATACAAAGTCTTATGCTTGGCAGAGATGCTTGATAGGGGTCTATATGCTTTGGAGCCACCAAGTTAAAAATCTTTGGATGACAAACATTTCGGCTTGGTGCATTTTAGAAAATATCATACTTATAATGCATTAGAGTGCATGGCTTTTATCGAGTATTAGCAAAAGTCAATGATAACATTCAACTCCATGGCTCACACATCAGCTTATAGAAGCCTACATGTAAGAACTGTGACATTACAACAATCCCTAAATTCTTTTTTGAGCTCAAGCATCAAATAAAATTAAATAAACTCATACCAAAAAAATAAACCACTGTTTTGATCTTTTGCATTCTTTCATATCTGAAACAGAAGAATCATTCCCAAGTCTTGTCTCAAGTCACAAGTTCAAATACAAGATTAAATAGCTGTGCTGAGATTTGACCCTGTCATACTGTTCATCTTTTGACAGATGAACAATCTATTCATTTCAATCTTTTGTTCAATAACTGCCAGAAATGACCTAAATCAAGGTTTGTATATTCCAACCACTGGAATCATACAATCCTCTTATCCAATAATAATTTCTATTTCAAGCAAATATAATTTGAACTCAAGGGTCAAACAATTCTCAGACATATCTGGCTCTCTTCATTCCCACAAACCAGAAATTTCTCATGAACACAAGAGCAAGACTTGGCCATAGACCTTGGAGTTTTGCGTATCTAAGAGAAAGGGCATCATAGGCAAAATCCTTTAAAAGTAACTTTTGCAAAATTGACCTATAGATATTTGTAATTATTTCTGATGTCCTCAACAATCTTAGAGAAGATGAGTCACTTTCAAAGAATACAGAGGCCTGGCTATAGCACTGTTCATATTCATAGTTAGCTTTATGAGTCTGGAGATAATTACTCAGTTTCACTTTACAACCTACATAAATATGCTTTCTAGGATCATTAACACCATTATTAAAATATCCAAGATAGTCTTTTTATTTTTTATATATTTGAATTACAAACAAGATTGAATTATATGACGATCCCAGTTCCCTTTTCCTTCCTTTCCTCCTCTACCACCCCTCCAACTAAAATCCTACCTGTCATATGTCCTTTCTTCTAATCTACACTTGACTCAAAATTTCTGCTTCCTTATTACCTCTGCATCTTTCCTTTTCTTCCCTTCTCATTCTCATAGCTTGCTCCCCCCTCTTCTCATGTTCTCAATTTGCTCAGGGGATGTGACCCTTTCCCCTTCTCCAGGAGACAAAGTTTGTCTCTTTTAGGGTCTTCCTTGATTACTAGTATCTCTGGCAGTGTGGATTGTAGGATGGTATTCCTTACACTGTGTCTAAAATCCACAAATGAGTGAGTACATATGATGTTTGTCTTTTTGTGATTGGGTTACCTCGCTCAGAATGGTTTCTTTGAGTTCCATCTATTTTCCTGCAAATTTCAGGATTCCATTGTTTTTTTTTTCTGCTGAGTAGTACTCCATTGTGTAAATGTACCATATTTTCTCTATCCATTCTTCAGTTGAGGGCATCTAGGCTGTTTCCAGTTTCTGGCTATTACAAATAATGCTGCTATGAACATGGTCCTTGTTGTATGAATGTGCTTCTTTTGGGCATATGCCTAGGAGTGGAATTGCTGGATCTTGTGGTAGACTCATTCTGATTTTCTTGAGGAGTTGCCATACTGATTTCCAAAGTGTCTGTACAAGTTGGCACTCCCACCAGCAGTGGGGGAGCATTCCTCTTTCTCCACATCCTCTCCAGCATAAACTATCATTGATATTTTTGATTTTAGCCATTCTGAAAGGAGTAAGATGGTATCTCATAGTTGTTTTGATTTGCATTTCCCTGATGGCTAAGGATGTTGAACACTTTCTTATGTGTCTTTCAGCCACTTTAGATTCCTCGGGCATATGCCTAGGAGTGGAATTGCTGGATCTTGTGGTAGACTCATTCTGTCAGCCCTCTGTCAGATATGGGGTTGGTGAATGTCTTTTCCCAGTCTGTGGGCTGTCGTTTTGTCTTGCTGACTGTGTCCTTTGCCTTACAGAAGCTTCTCAGTTTCAGGA